TATATATATATATATATATATTGAAACATAATCATGAAATAGTGAAATTTTAAATTTCACAAAAACATGCCGAAATCGATACTAAAGGAACATGATATTCAAAATCTCGATTTTCGAACCCACCTTGCCAAATGATATCCTAACACCCTCCCAACTTAGCAAACCCCGTGGGCGTCACTATGAGGGTGAGGATTCAAGAATATTGCATGAAAAATATGTTGTAGTTGCAAAAACACAAATCATTACCGAAAAACATATTTTTATCAAGTAGTCTACGTTTGTGTTGAACACTCCCAAAACTACATCCCCATATCTATCAAAACTCCGTGTGTGTATGTACGTTGGGATTCTCACTCTGAAAATTGAATTTAACCTGAATGCACATGCAGAAATGAAAAACACAGCTGTTGACCATTTTTGCCCCAAAACACGTGAATTTCGTACAGGATGGAAAGATGACCAATGTAATACCCCCAAACGGTATCCAACCATATAACAAACTTCATAAAATGCTTATGAGCTGTAACAATACATCTAAAAGCATTTTCAACCATGAAAGCACGTTTTGTCTATTTGTGCCTCGATATGGGTGAGTTTTCTCCCCAAGTACCCAAAGAAGATTTGTATACCACATAAGACATTAATACTGCATTCAAAACTCATATGGAGCATGCATGGGTAGTTTGTGAATCATATAGGCAAGTGATGGCCTAAAACTACCAACAAAAAAAAAATCATGAAGAAATTTAAAAGTGCCAAAACAAATGAAAAAGAAAGGGAAAAAATAAAAGGGTAGAAATGATGGGTTGCCTCCCATCTAGCGCTAGTTTATAGTCGATAGCTCGACTGTACCGTGTGGTGATTATTCTGGTGGCTGAAGATGAACGGTGGATTTATCTTTCGAGAAATCCCCGCTCCAATAGTGCTTTAAGCGCTGTCCATTGACTTTGAATGTTCCTTTGCTCTCATGGGTGATTTCCACAGCTCCATGTGGGAATACCTGTGTAATAGTGTATGGGCCAAACCACCGTGATCTCTATTTTCCCGGAAAAAGCTTCAGGCGAGAATTGAACAACAACACTTGTTGCCCCACAAAAAACTCCCTTGGCTGAATATGCATGTTATGAAATTTCTTGGTTCGCTGCTTATAGATTTTTGTATTTTCATAAACTTCCTGACAAAACTCATCCATCTAATTCAATTGAAGTGAACGCTGTTCACCCGCTACTTGAAGATCCAGATTCAACCTTCGAAGTGCCTAATATGCTCGATGTTCCAACTCAACTGGTAAGTGACATGATTTCCCAAACACCAGACGGTATGGTGACATTCCTATTGGAGTTTTGAATGCTGTTCTGTAGGCCCACAAAGCATTATCTAACTTATTGGATCAGTCTTTCCTTAAAGAATTCACCGTGACCTCAAGTATTTTCTTCAATACTCTGTTAGAAATTTCAACCTGCCCACTGGTTTGAGGATGGTACGGGGTTGCTATGCGGTGTTTGACTCCATACTTACTCAGCAACTGCTCGAAATGGCGATTACAGAAGTGTTTGCCCCTGTCACTGATGATAGCCCTAGGTGTCCCATAACGAGTGAAAATGTGCTTCTTGAGGAATCCAATTACAACTTTTGTGTCGTTAGTAGGCAATAATACTGCGTCTACCCACTTAGAGACGTAGTCAACTGCCACAAGTATGTATTGATTGGAGAATGACGATGAGAATGGTCCCATGAAGTCAATCCCCCAAACGTCGAATAGCTCCACTTCTAGGATACTTGTTAAAGGCATTTCATTCTTTCTCNGTGTCGTTAGTAGGCAATAATACTGCGTCTACCCACTTAGAGACGTAGTCAACTGCCACAAGTATGTATTGATTGGAGAATGACGATGAGAATGGTCCCATGAAGTCAATCCCCCAAACGTCAAAAAGTTCAACTTCTAGAATACTTGTCAGGGGCATCTCATGCTTCCTTGAGATATTTCCTGTGCGTTGACACCGATCACATCTCTTCACGAATTCAAAGGTGTCCCTGAACAATGTAGGCCAATAAAATCCTGACTGTAAGTCCTTCGCTGCTGACTTGGAAGCCACAAAATGTCTCGCATATGCTGATGAATGGTAATGCTCCAGAATCTGATGCACTTCTTCTTCAGGTACGCATCGTTGAATAATCTGATCTGCACCGCGCCTATAGAGAATTGAATCTTCCCAAAAGTAATATTTCAAATCGGTAAAAAACTTCTTCCTCTGATGATTAGAGTATTCCAGTGGAGGAATGGATTTGGCCAAGTAGCTGATAATATCAGCATACCACGGTGCAGTTTCCACACTGAGGATGTGTTCATCTGGGAAAATCTCATTTATTTTCACTGACTCTTCCGGTTGGCCAAGCTCCAATCGAGATAGGTGATCTGCTACAACGTTCTTACTGCCCTTTTTATCACTGATTTCAATGTCAAACTCTTGCAACAGTAACACCCAGCGAATCAATCTTGGCTTGGCATCTTTCTTCGTCATCAGATATTTAGGCGCCTGATCTGTGAAAACAGCTACCTTTGACCCAACCAAGTAATGTCGAAACTTATCAAATGCATATACGACTGCCAATTACTCCTTCTCTGTGGCTGCATAATTCAACTGTGCATCATTTAAAGTTTTGCTGGCATAGTATATCACATGAAAAACTTTGTTTCTTCACTGTCCCAAAACCACTCCCACGGTGTAGTCAATAGCATCACACATCAATTCAAACGGTAATTCCCAATCTGGTGCAACTACCACTGGAGCTGAAGTAAGCTTTTCTTTTAGGTTGTGAAAAACTGTCAGACACTCATCATTAAAGTCAAATGGGTTGTCTTTCATCAATAAGTTACATAGTGGCTTAGTGATCTTCGAGAAATCCTTGATAAACTGTCTGGAAAACCCGGCATGACCTAGAAAACTGCGAACGCCCTTTGAAGAAGTAGGTGGTGGTAATTTCTCAATGATTTGAATTTTTGCCCTGTCCACTTCTATTCCTTTAGCTGAAACTTGATGTCCCAAAACTATGCCTTCTTGCACTATGAAGTGACATTTCTCCCAGTTCAATACCAGATTCGTTTCCCTACATCTTTCTAACACCAAGTTCAGATGTTCCAAACACTCATCAAATGAAGATCCAAACACAGAAAAGTCATCCATGAAGATCTCTATAAATTTCTCAACCATGTTGGAAAATATAGCCATCATGCATCTCTGGAACGTGGCTGGAGCATTACATAAACCGAAGGACATCCTACGGTAAGAAAAAGTACCATAGGGACATGTGAATGTGGTCTTTTCCTGATCATCCGGCGCTACTGGAATCTGATTGTAGCCGGAATACCCATCGAGAAAACAGTAATGTGAATGACCTGCCAACCTCTCCAACATCTGATCAATGAAAGGGAGAGGAAAATGATCCTTCCTAGTAGCTGTATTGAGTTTGCGATAGTCAATGCAAACCCTCCATCCCGTAACTGTTCTGGTTGGAATAAGCTCATTCTTCTCATTAGGTATAACTGTGATTCCTCCTTTCTTCGGCACTACCTGAACTGGACTGATCCATGCACTATTGGATATAGGATAGATGATTCCCACATCCAAGAGCTTCAATACTTCGGC